TGTATAATATGTAAATAATAATTAAAGATATAAATAATAGAAACTTTTAAATAATGGTATAAATTGCTTGAAATAAAAAAAAAATTCCAATTCACATAAGCTTTTGATAATAGGTAATGAAATATTCATGGAAGCCGGTCACACAAATATCACCACTAATAAAAAACGATACATTCCCATTCACACTATTTCAAAAAAACATTGGCAAATTTGGATGCGAAGCCTCACCAAGTTTCACAGCATTACTGAAGATGATACTAATAGCTCATTTTCTAAAATTGGAAAAAAATGGACTGGGAAATTTATCATAAAAATTGTTCTACGCTGAATCCTATCTGTGGCTTTTCATAAGAGGAAGCAAAATAACGCCTGCGCAGAGTCTTATCTTCCGAACAACTGTTCTAAATTTTGAATTTCCTTCATTTTCATTGGCCAGCTTTTGCGCACGCACAGTACATGTATCTACTGCGCACGCTCACAGCTGTCCCAGTCAGTTGTTTTTGTTTACATTATGACCTCGTAAATTAGCAGCATTAGAAGCGTTCTTTGTTTATCCATTTATTTTTGAGATCAGTGGCGTCTCTACTGCTTTTATTTCAAAAAATAGACCCAATGTTAATCAAGACAACATGAAGCTTATTGAATTGCGCAGTTTTTAGTCGAAGTAAAAGTAGAATAGTACCTTGCATAAGGAAGTTGCGGCAAGGTAAGTTTGAAAAGATATTACTGATTTGCTGCCTTTTGTTTAATATTGTTGTTTTTCTCAACTTGTTGAATGAATTTTTTAAAATAAATATACACCAAAAGAAAGAAAATTGAATGAGGAATCGAACTAAAAAAAAAAACTTGTTTCTATCTTGCTTTGAACAAAAGTTATGCGGATTCAAAGTTAAAAAAACTATATTCAATATTTATCCAGTTTTTTGCCTATATCTTTCATCTGGACCAATGGAGAGTGTCGTCAATTTCCATTTCCTATGTAAAAAAACATGCTTTTTCAAATGGGGAAGGTCCCATTTGGTTGGAAGTCGATTTTTTTTAATGCGTCCTAGGAGGAGCTATCCGACGGACTAATAGCTGCACCACCATATCGCTTATCTCCTGCGAAGAATTTTTGCGTCAGGAGCTTGACAAACTTCTTGCCAACGATATCATTGAAGAGAGCGAATCGCTGTACGCATTCCCAGTCGTCCTTCTGCCGAAGAAAGATGGAACTTCACGTCTTTCTGTTGATTATCGCCGACTGAATGCTGTCACCAACAATGCTCGTTACCAGTTGCCCCGTATAGATGACCTTATCCATTCAACTGGAAAAGCTAACTACATAACCACTTTACACCTAAAGAGTGGTTATCATCAAGTACCTGTCAGAGATGAAGATCTTGATAAAACCGCCTTTGTCATGCCATTTGGACTTTATCGATATAAGACTATGCCTTTTGGTCTATCGCCGGCCCCAGCAACGTTTCAAAAGCTAATAAACCATTTTTGTTCAGGTTTGCCGCATATCCAGATGTTAGGATACCTTGATGACTTAATAATTTTATCCACGATTTTTGAACAATACATCAAAGACTTGAATGATGCTTTCAACCGTCTACGCATTTACAAATTAAAGGTGAACAAGAAGAAATGCACCTTCTGTACTTCAGAAGAAGAAATATGATGGTCTTCTTATTGGACGAGATGGTATCAAAGCCGATCCGGAAAAGGTTGCCGCTATCACCCATCTTGCCGCGCCGAAGTACGTGGAACAAATTGTCAGTTTTCTTCATATCTGTTCATAGTTCCGAAGATTCATTCCAAACATTGCCAATGTCTCCAGACCGCTAAATAACTTGACAAGAAAAAATGTTTCGTGGTCGTGGAAATCGACACAACAAGAATCGTTCGAGAAGCTCAAAGTTCTCCTGACTACAGCGCCTATTCTGCGTCAAGCCGATCCTTCTAAGTCATACATTACTAAGACTGGTGCCAGTGCCCATGCTATTGGTGCATGTTTGCCCCAGGGGAGAGACCAGACGAAAGACCGGTAGAGTACGCCAATCGTTTACTTACTTCGGCCGAGAAGAACTGTAGCTGTACTAATCGAGAAGCCCTTGCACTTGTCTACGCAGTCAACAAGTTTCGCGGATACATAGAAGTTTTACCAGTTTATGTAAAAACTGATCATCAAGGTAGATTGGCTCGGTGGGCAATTCAACTGCAAGCTTTCGACCTCAAGATTGACTTCATAACCGGACGTACGAATGTCGTCGCAGATCCCTATCAAGACCACCCATTGACTCGGATAACAATGACCAGTCACTAATAGCTGTCGACACAGTTACTATTCTGCTACCTAATAAATCGGCTGGACCAGAACCCAGCAGTTAGATGATCCATACACTAGGAGTATTATCGACTGTTTCGAGAATGCTGGTTCTGATACTGTCGACTTTGCCAGATACCCGTGAACTAAGAACCCCGCATGATGTCGAACGTGATCTCCGAGGTATCCTTAACAACGAGAACTTCATTCCTGAGATCACCCCAAAATTACAGATTGTTGCTAATGTCCTGTCCAAAAATGTTGAGGGTAAAAGGCGGCATCGACCCGTTAAATCGCCACCTGATTTTGATCTGTAGTCCCCAAATGCTGCAACAGCCTTCGAAGACTATTTGGTGTCAACAGACCAACATCAGGCACTTTCATGTGTAAAGTTGAATGATTTGCGAAATATTATCTATACCTTACCGCACGCAAAATCGTGTAATACAGGGTGTCCCAGCCGAGAGTGACCCATTTTAAATGCTTATAACTTTTAAACCAGGTGAGCTAGCTACCTGCGGTTTGTGCCATTCGATTTCTCTTGGTCTAAAGTTTTTTCTAGTTGGTTTCAAATTTTTTTAAAACTTATACAGGGCGAGTAAAAAAAAATCCGTTTCTCAACATCGAAATTCTCCACTATTTTTAATGGAACACCCTGTATATCACAACGTCAATAAAAGATTCATGTTTAAGGTATCCATGTACCAATAGACATCGGCCCTAAAACTTGAAGTTTTAGCCGTAAAAGATCAAAATCAATATCTTGGTATTTTTGCAAACGCATATTTTCAAAGCTTGGAACTTATGTTTGCCTAATAAAAAGTTAATACCAACTGCATAAAACTATACAAAATGCTGTAGGTACCTATATGTATATGTTAGCCATTCTGTTCCAGGCACTTATGGTTCAATAAATTGAATGAATTGTGTAACATTTCCTGGAGAATCGCTTCAATGACATCACAAATGTTCCCGTTAAGATCTTCCAGGCTATTTGAGCAAAGTATTACCGCATCTTTCCTTGACATAACCCCAGAGAAAAAAGTCTAGAACTCTCAAGTCAAGAGAGTGAGGTGTCCATTGTATAGGCCAGCTCGTCTTTCCCCAAATGTCATATCTAGTGATTCTCTTGCTATTAAAGAATAATGAGGTGAGGGCACCATCCTGCTGAAAATAGATATCCATTCAAGATAACCTCCTGTCTTAACTGTGGGAAAAAGAACATATCAGTGTATGCAGTTTCTGTTATTGTTGGTTCATCAATGAAAATGGTCTGTATTTTTTCTCAATAGAGATTGCACACCAAACTGTTACTGTTGGGGTATGTCTATTTAATGGGTTCCAGAGAAAATACTTTGGAACTCGCCAAATTTTCTTGGAAAATGTATTTTAACTTGATTGATATCTAACTAGACACTTATAAAATTGTTTACCAGAGTGATATCAAGTTCCTACAACATGAAGTTGCATGCGTTTGCAAAAATACCAAGAATTCGATTTTGATTTTTTTTCGACTAAAACTTCAAGTTTTAGGGACGATGTCTAGTGGTACATGGATACCTTAAACATGAATCTTTTTTTGACGTTGTGATATACAGGGTGTTCCATTAGAAATAGTGGAGAATTTCGATGTTGAAAAACGGATTTTTTTTTACTCGCTCAGTATAAGTTTCAAAAAAAATTGAAACCTACTAGAAAAAACTTTAGACCAAGAGAAATCGAATGGCACAAACCTGGTTTAAAAGTTATAAGCATTTAAAATGGGTCACTCTCGGCTGGGACACCCTGTATACCTTAGTAACCGCACGCTTGTATATAAAATTAGTTAAAGGTATGAGATTTGAAAAATAATATAAATTCCTTAAAAAATGGATAGTCGATTGTGTCTAACAGAATTTCGGAAATAAAATATTATATTTAAAATTCCAAAATTGATTGTCGACCTAACGAGCCAAAAGGCGGGACCGGGAAACAAAAGAAAATCCCTTAAAATTTGTCTAAAATATGCAAATCTAAAATATTTGTTCAGGCTTTTTTCCTTCGGAAATTTTGAATACATTACTTGTCATAAAAGTCTGATGGAGACTACATTTTATTAAAAGATTCAAAATTGAATTATTTCCGTTAATCATAGTACGTGACACAGAAACAAAAATCATTCGAAATATTCTTTAATTGCTAGAAGTAGTTGCTGCTGTACTTAGATAGATATTACTTTAAATGTAAGTCTTTATCGCGCTGTATGGAGATACTCGGGCATTAATTCGTTTTTGCCAGAGCACATACAGACTTGTTAACTGGTTGTAAATCGTAAAGTTTCTGCCTCTAACACCAGACTTTGTACCTAACAGTTTAATTTATAGTAATTATGAGTCCAAAAGCTGGAGCACGGAGGAGCAATTACGCTTTTCATTCCGGACCGGCAATCTAAAGAAATAGACATATTTGTTTCTAAAGGAACGTTTTCGGAGCAATTATTTATAATGATGCCCGCTTTGAATTCCACGAATGTATACGCTGAACGACGACTTTCTTTTTTCCTGTCTCTCGACTTTTGTATGAATAAACTAAGCTATAAATTATAAATTACACACTGTGTCCTCTCTTACTCTCATTGTTCAAAAATAAACCTGATATTTATGCTACATGTTGCAGTAGTTTAACTTCAAGACATAATTTATTTTTGCAGTACCTCCTAGTTCTCCTACAATCATCAACGAATGGGGCAAAGAAGTTGGTCAACTGGCTGGACCATATGAGGAAGGTGGTGATTTGAAACTTAACTGTATCGTTAAAGGAGGTAAAATTTTTGCCTTCAAATAGTTTTGGGTGTGGATAATCCATCAGTTTTATTTTCAGGAAAACCCAAACCTATGATAAAATGGTGGCACGAAGGAAAATTAATTGATTCCGCGGAAACTCACAGCAGCACTGAAAACGTGCTGACTAACCAACTGACTATAAGAGACTTGCAAAGATTTCACCAACATGCCACGTTCACTTGCCAAGCTTCAAATAACAATATCAGTCAGCCTTTGTCCGCAACAACATCGATCAATATTTACTGTAAGTTTTTTTTTTTTGAAAATCCTATTATTTAATACAAGAAATGAAGAAAAGATTTATGTGAATAATTCGAGATGGCAATACATTTATATACCTACCTACAGCTTAACGAATAATAGCCAAGGTTCTAAGTTTATTTCAAACTGTGCAGCAGACAACTTGTGTTTATTTTCTAAATGCAGTAACACAATTATGGATGGATTCCATCCACGTCTCTCCCAAGGTTAAATAGAAGGCACTGAATAGCTGTCAAGGATATAACGGTCTTGCTCTATTTACGCAAGAAATAAGTCTTATATGAAAACATTTCTCTATGCGAAGTTTTAACGAACGGGACATTGAAAATTTTAAACTTTCTCCATCATAATAATCCCTGGCACATTGGCTTCTTTACTAATTTTTTTACACCTTCCAACTAAATACAATTTTTTTTTTTTTTTTGGAAAAACCTCTAATTTAATGGGTTGTTCAATCTGGAAGAACAAAATACGAATTCCAAAAATATATAATTTAGTTATGTTTGGTTCGGCCGCTTCCAATATATTTATTTGGCTCTGAAAATTATAAAAATACTATGGGGGCTCAACGAGAGTTTCAAAATAACCGATAATTTTCCACTATTGCGTGTTTTCTATAGTTTGCAAAGAAAACACGCATGATTGGATAATTATTTGGTTAATTTCAAAGCTATAGTGGTACCTATTTACAGGACTATTTCATAAAAATACAGGGTGTATCAGTATGTTCGGAAACCCATCCTCAAGGTACAAAATCTAACACTCCCTCCAAAATAATCGCAAATGAAAAATAGTTCATCACCTAAAGCGAAATTGAATTATTTGCATGATTGGAACGAGCACATTCAAATGCTCGTTACAAGGTTGCATATGCCAAGGCGTTTTCTGATGGGATGGTTTATATTGTTGGCATGAGAGGCAACTTTTCAAATATTTAGCGATATCCATCATCATGCCGGGCCAATAATAGTATCTGCGGCAAATATTGCTATATACCAGGGGTCGGTTCTTCCAAAACGGCCGTTCGGGCATTTTCAGGAACGCAGATTTTCTCCGGGTCGAACATTTGAATCGGAAAAATCCGAGAAACGACGATATCGTTGTCCATTTCTGACACGAAAATCCGGAAAGGCGGTTGGATTAATTTGCATGGCGGCCTTCTTGACATCATACCATATCCATGCTCAGGACAATATCGGAAAATGCATGCGAAAAATAGCTAAAAGTTTCGGTTGGGACGGTGTCTCCGATTTTTAATGGTATTTTATAGGCCACGGAGATTACCACTAATCCTCCATTTGCCACTTTTGCATTGGCGGAGGTCGGTCGAACCTTCGGATATATATGTACAAAATAACGGCGGGAATGGTGCTTCCAAAATGCAAACGTGAGGTCTGGTGTCAGGTAGACGGTTTAGGGCACAGGTTGCTCGGTGATAACTAGAGGTTTCTTTCGGGAGTTGTTTCTTTTCCCACATCGCGAACAAATATTTGGGCACATATTTATATTCCGGCGAATTTCTCTTGTTCTATCATTTCTTTCAAGTGGCCGGCTATGTTTTTCCATTCTTCGGGTCGTATGGCTGTATGTTTCTCTAGGTGCAGATATCGGTGGCTGAAAATAATTTCGGGATGTAGACAGTCGGTTTTTTGGTTCGGTCACTTAAAGCTCTATTTCTCGGATTAGACTTGAAAGCGTAACCACGTCGGTGAAGTCACTTTTACGGATGTATTGCCGGTATTCGGGCGAAAGGTTCCCATACAATCAATGAAGCTCCGTTATCCTACTATGCCTGCGAATAAGAGTTTTGACATCGGTGATGTAACGGTGGGTCGGTTCGGTCGGTGTTTGGAGACGGCGATTAATTTCAATCTCTAGGTCGGAATAACTTATTGAAACTCATGTCAGGTATTCCAGATCGTCCTTCTTTAGTCGGTACACCCAGCTCACATGGATATCGTTGGGATTGTACGCAAAGGTAACCACGGAAGGTGGATTAACACTTGGGTTGCACGGACTGGTTGTAACCACAGTAGATACGGTGGTATTTGGAATGCTGATAACCTGCATGTTTCCGTGGTTTTAGGTGCCTCCTGGCATTGCGAATACGAGACCAATCGCCAAAACGGCAATGGACCTCAGCGATTAGTGGACAACCAGTTCACTATCAGGTTTTTCCCCGGCAGTACGATTAAAAGTGCTAAAGTGTTCAAGCGAACGGTTCAGTCGAGAGTGTCCAACTGACAAGATGAACGGTCGAGGCTACAGTTTTTTCGATGTGATCAGGTAAAGGGCTGAGTGTGTCTCGATTGTAACTCTTTCCCAAGCCCTATCTAGGCTTGCTCGAGTACACGGTTGAGGCCGTTCTGTCGGTAGGGCTGGTTTGAGTACTCGGTTGGAACTGACCCCTCGGCAGTACTTATATTGTGGCTGATTCACACTCTTTTACACTGGTTGGAGAGGATGCGGTTTGGTTTCGCACACTTTTTTTTTTCGTTGTTAGAAATTACTGACACGAGATTTTCGGATTTTGCTTCACGGTGTAGGCTAAAACTTTGATTCCACCAAAAGAAAAGAGTAGTACAGAAACTTTTACTTCGACCCTTCTCGATCAAACGATAAATAATCCCTAGAATCAGTACCAATCCCCGAACGTGTCTGGTCGCGTGTTCAAGTGGGGTAGAAAGTAAAACTGATCTATGTCATTACGTTGAACCGGAAAATAGGGAGTAAATAGTGAATGCGGTAATCCTGCTGAACTTATCTGTACCTGCAGCCTCGACTTGCCTTGATCAGTCAGTACTCAACTCCTTTGGGGAAAGTGGTTTCGGGACCACAACTGAACGGTACAGTGTGCAGTATTAGATACAGCATCGGTCCCATGACGCAATTGGTGCAAATTGGGAAACGAGGGTTTTAGCAGGGTAGAGAACACAACTGGTCAAGGTCCGTACCTTGAACCGGGACATAAGAATTACCTAGTGAATGCAGTAATACTGCTGGACATCAGTACGTACAGCCGATGCTTGTCCTGACCAGCATATTTACTACTAGCATATTTACTCTAGAAACGGGCGCGGTAAATCGCCTAGGCCATGTCGCGTAGTGTGCTCAAATTACCTTGAAGACGGTTCCATAAACTTAAAAATTCTCCAGAAACAAGTAAGGGTACCCAAAGCCACAAAAGTCAGAGAACTCAGACCAATACAAGTTAGGGTACATCAACCTGCCTCCAACTGCTAGCAAAAGTTGGGGCACCTAATACCCAGAAGTGAGGGCATAACTAACACCAAGTGCAGAAATAAGTAAGGGGGCGTCGCCCAAGTTAGGGGACGTCCGAAAAGTGAGGGCACGGCACGTACCACAACATCTATCCTAAAACAAGTGAGGGAACCATAAAATAAAGTGGAAGGACCCTCGTCACATGTAAGGGAACGTCCAATAGACAGCGGACGATCACAAAGTAAGGGGACGAGCCAAAAATTAGGGGTCGACCCAAAATCACGGGGATACTCCAGGGTCCTTATTCTTGAAACAGGGGAGCAGCGTTCCCAGGAAAACGAGTGTTCCGTCTTTCCCAATGATATGCAACTGATAATATAGGTAACCAAGAAGGAACACTCGTTCTCCTGGGAATGCTGCTCCTCTCTTTCAAGAATAAGGACCCTGGACGGGATCCCAAGATGGGCGACACACAGAACGAATTTGACAATGAGAGTGTCCGGAGCTTCTGCTCGAATGCTTCTTCTTCTAGATACAAAACAAGAAGCATCCCAAACGTGGAAGCTAGACTCATCGTGCATGCAGATGAATGCACTGAATGCGCAAAACATTACGATTACCTTGATACTCATACAGGGGGGAAGCAAGGTTCGTAATTCAAATAGTCATTTCGCACATAAGGAGAAACCACCTTTACTTGTTACCCAAAGCAAAAGCAGTCAAAAGACAATTAGAAGTCAGCCCGATCAAAGGAAATCCAAGAAAACCACTGAGGGCTGTGAATTCGCCCAGCCGCCCCTACGTCACCCTTTCCACCTGCAGAATGCAGTGGCAACCCCGCCAACTTTTCTAAGTCCCTGCCAACAACAGATTACAGGTGCGGGAGGCCAAAGATCCTGAGCCTGAAATTTCCATTCCAAACAAGTCCAAAGAGGAAATTAGAAGCAAAGTGGTGGACACTGTCCCACCAAAACCAACAGGCGCAATCAAGAGGAAACAAGCCCTTCCCCCCCCCAATTGTTGTGAAAGGCAAATTGAACAACCACAAACATTTCCTCGAGGCCAAAATAACATCGGAGCCACTTGAGATGAAATATGGCTGGGATTCGGCGATTTTGTATCCGACGAACATAACAGACCAATAATAGCATGGCAAGACACCTTACTAACGATGGTGCTGAGTTCCACACTTACTCAGTACCATCAGAAAAGACAAACGCCTTTATGAGAAATTAAGGAATACCTGCTAGACCGATACAGCTTGGGGGTTGAGGAGGTCTACCATATGAAAAACACGTTACCTCCTCTGAGTGGACAGTTACAAAACTCAACGTAAGAACCGTTTTCGCATCCAGGGTACAGTGAGAGGAGCGGAAGAACCGAAAAAACATCTCGCAGTGTGTCTGGTGTCCGGTATGGGGACACACCATGACGGGATGTCACAGGCAGTGCCGATGTTCCAAATGTGCAGTAGCCGACATGACGGCCGACTGCCCCAATGGAGATAAGAAGTCGGTATGCGCGAACTGCAACGGAGCTCACCGGGCAATGTCCACAAACTGCCCGGTAAATAATTTCAAAAAATGCATGCTCGAGTAACGAACCCTCTCCTAAACCAAAAGATGTTCCTGCCCCGCAACCCAGAAATCCAGCCTTTGGCCGGAGAGAGGCCCAGGCACCCAGACAACCGCCACCGATACAGCCACCGATGGATGGATGGACTTTCCTCATGGGCTAGTTCACGAACGCGGTTTGCGAGCTCAGGTTTTGCTGTTGAGACCGCGTCCTCAGGACCAAACCGCCTAATAAGGGCACCATTTTTTTGTTTTGTTTTATCTAGGTCTTTGAAAAGTGGGGTTCTTAAATAACTTTTCCCACGAAACGGGCACTGCGTGCTCTGCAACCCCAACTCTTGCATATCTCCGTATCTTCTGGTAGGCCGGTATTACGGCGTAATGCTTGCCATCCATGGTATTTGTCAGCGACCCCAGGGTCATATAAACAACGTATGGGGGCAACCAGGAAACGTCGTGAATAACTTTCTAAAGCAAGGATGGGACAGGCGTTTTCTGGTCAGAACATCGACCGTGCTAAAACATCCCCAAACAGCGCGCTAGGCGTGCCTGGGGCACGGTGTGCTGCGTCACGCCTAGTTTTCAGCAAATAAGTCTATGGACTAGTTTCTTAGTATTGTGTAGTTTGAAGGGGGGGCCTAACCCCCTGCCTGTAATGTGACAATGAATGCAATTATTTAAATAAAGAGTTTTGAGTTGAGTTGTGTTTAAATACGTACGGTTTTTGGAGCAAACGGACCTGGGCTCGATTGTCGTTGGAGGCAATACATTTTTTTGTAAGTTTTTCTTTTCTCTTAAGGTTTTTTTTTTAAGATTATCAAGAAGACGGTTGGTTAGCTTTGGTTAGTTTGGATTTGCTCTGTTTCCTTTGAAATACCAACATACAAAGACAAGCACTTATTACTCTAATGCATGCGTATACAACACATGAGTCGAGGTGTCTTTTAGACTCGAGTAACTCCTCTGGAGATTTTATAGCCGGCCGATCATTGCGCGTTTCGGTAGTCCAGGAGATAGGTCCAATAGTGGAAGACGAGGGTGTTCGTGCTTTTAGCCAGCGGTACGGGTTCGATGGTGACGTCTTGAATAACTGATTATCTCGGAAACCGGACGCGCACAAATTTCATAAAAATTATTGTAGCCCAAATAATCGATTATCGAATCAAATTAAACATGGATGCACACCTATGGTATCAATCAAGAGAATAATACATCTAAAAAGGAAACTCGATATTGGAAAAACATTCATTGGATTCTCTTGTCTCGTCATGGGCATTTTCCTTTAAATTTCGATTATTGAAATTAAATTCTCGAGGAAATCATGCGAAATATTCGGTTTATTGTCTAATTACTGCCGCCTCAAAAATTAAATTATTTAAATTCGCGAAAAAACCTGGATGAAACAAGTCGAAAAATTAAATCCCAGGTGAAAAATATTAATGAGCAGCGAAAAGTCCAGCGGCGGCTAGCAAAACTGCCCTAGTAAGAGAACAAATGGATTGGATGGATTTAACTTAATTAAAACTCATCTGGCAAAATCTGCTTTATTTGAAGTTCGCATATTTTTAAAACACATAAAAAGAGCATGTTTAAATTTGAAAATTTCTTGTTAAATTGCAACGATCCTAATCGCTAACATATTATTTTTTGGTCGCCATAGGTATACAGGGTGCGCCAAAGAAGTAATTTTTTTAATGGATCGCCCTGTATATCTCTGCATTTTTATTAAAATTCCTAAAAAATCGGCTTCGCAGAAATATCAAACATTATTTGGAAAACAAAATTTTACAGAGCGTTTCATTGAAAAAAACTACTTTTTTAACGCTCCCTGTATACCTATGGCGACAAAAAAATCATTGTAGCGCTTAAGGTTGTAATTTATCAGAAATTTTTCCAACTTTAACATGCCCTTTATTTTCAATAATTAAAAATTAATTGAGTGTTCCAGTTATAAACAAATATCCAGTAGTCTTATGGCCGAATCACTTATTTTGGGGTGACGTCTAAAGCCGCGTACGGCACATGTGCTGTCGTTGGCGTTGGAATTGGAAAGCATTAGAAAGGATTTGAGAACATCAGCGAGAACGCCGTACAGAGTACACACCAATATCCAGTTATATTAGACCGCCGAAAAAAGCAGCATCTGCTGAAAAAATCCGAGTGAGCCTAAATTTTGTCTACATCTTTATTTTACCTCAAAAAAATAATGTCTTAAAATTCCCCATCAATATCGCGCTTGGGTTTTCAGATATTCAAAGGTCACGAAAATCTCATTCTCTCAATTATCTTGCTTTTCGTCAGGCGTATAACTTTTTGCGTGATTACAAGAAATTAAAAGCGGAAAATTCTCTACAAAAAAAGGTTATATAAGTATTTTCTGTACAACCAATGAGCAGAGGGTGGTGAGGTGGTGCACCGTGCCAAGGAGCCATGCACTTTTTCATTTTTCTGTTTTTTTTTATAACCTTCATTTGCTTCTTTGAAACATGT